AATAATAAAATTTAGTCCACAATATTCACCTAATGTCACTTAATCTTTATTTTCTTAGAATATTTTAATCCTAAAATTTTAGATTTCTTTGTCAAAATAACTTATATTAAACAAAATATTAGTTAATTAAAAGTCAACATTTATTGTAGATGTGACACATATCATATCATCTATTCTAATGAAAATAGCACATGTTATGTCAGTAATTGAACACATATAGAAATGATACATCAACAATATATGCTGATCGTTTGTCAATTAAAGATTTTCATACAATAGACTAATCGAGAATTTATTATAACAGAGGTTAAAATATTTTTTATTTTTTAATTAAGAGACATAACATTTTCTTTATGTATTTTTAAAAAATATATGTTTTCAATATTAATTAATACTTAAAAAATAATTAATGGGGACAAGGCTCCCTTTTAAGTCCATGATATTCTGTTCACGAGAAAAGAGATTATTTTGACAAAAAAACATTACAATTAAATTTTTTAAACGAAATAAAAACCAAATAATTATTTATTGAGGACTAATTTTATATTATGAAAAAAAAATATGCCGATGATTCATTAAACATTTAATAAAACGAAAAGCTTACTGTTTCTGACTAAAGTAAGTAAGTAAAAGGATTCTTGCACATGGCTATATAAACAATGGCTAGAAACTAATGTCACGCCCTTGGAACTTTGACGCCTCAGAACGTGCGGCCTTAGTCGCTTTCTTAGTGATTGCGGCTAAGTAAGCCTGAAAATATCCCAAGCAATGATGCTTAGAACCTCGACGGAAGCTAGACAAGAGAACTAGCACAAGAAGGAAGATAAGAAAGCTTTGAGAGAAGAATGCTCTTATGATTTCTCAAAGTGAAGGAGTGAGTACAAATGAGGAGGGGAGGCCTCTATTTATAGCTAAAGTTCCCCTCAAATGAACGGCTAAGATCTAATTACATCGACAAGATTAATCTTTACCTATCAAAAACAAGTGGGCATTATCTATACAAATTTAAATGCCACCTAATTCTTTGTGGCTTCTAGAAGGTCCAAACCCCCATTTGGGCTACTTCTCATGGGCTAACCTCGGTGGTGGGCTTTGGTCCGTGACATTCTCCCCAACTGGTTTCGGTGACGCCCTCGTCACTCGTTTGGCATGATATTGGTCTATTCTATTTTTGAATTGCCAAAGTCCCTCGGCATGTTCCCAACTCCCTTCGCACTCGGGTTGCCCCTTCCACAGGACAAAGTACTCATGCCTTGGGCGGTTTCCTGGCCGTCGAATAACCCTTTCCACTTGTATGTCTTGGATCTCTTTGTCATATGAGACTGCTACTCCGACTGGCGCTCGGTACGACTTGCCTCGATCTGGATCCTCGGTATCCTGATGGTACGGCTTGAGCAGGCTAACATGGATAACGGGATACGCTCGGATAGTTGGAGGCAACTCCAATTTGTAGGCCATGGTGCCTACCCGCTTCACGATTCGAAACAGACCCTCTTATCTTCACACAAGTCCCTTGTGTACATCCGCATGGCGCAAAACGTTAGCCAACTTTACAAGGACAAGGTTGCCAACTTCAAAGTTCACGTCCCTTCGTTTTTGGTCTGCCCACTTCTTGGTCTGCTTTCCCGCCTTGTGCAAACATGCTCGGGCTAAGTCGTGTTGCTCATGCCATTCCTTGGCAACGTTGTGTGCTGATGGATTGGGCCCCTCATATTTAGTAACAATCGTGTTGGGTGTCAACGGTTGTTGCCCGGTTACGATATCGAATGGACTTTGGTTTGTCGCCTCGCTCCGTTGTAAGTTGTAGGAAAATTGGGCCACATCCAACAGCTTTGGCTAGTCTCGTTGGTTGGAACTCACGTAGTGCCTCATATAGATCTCTAACAGAGCATTCACTCGCTCGGTTTGCCCATCGGTTTGTGGATGAACTGCAGTGGAAAAGTTCAAGCTCGATCCCATCAGTTTGAACAACTCCGTCCAGAATCTCCCTGTGAACCGCGTGTCCCGGTCATTGATGATGGTTTTTGGCATCCCCCAATACTTCACCACATGCTTGAGGAAAAGTCGAGCCGCCTCCACGGCTTAACAGACTTTAGAGGCTGGTATGAACGTCGCATACTTTGAAAACCTGTCAACCACAACCATTATACTTGAAAGTCCATCAGTTTTGGGCAAACCTATGATAAAATCCATGGAAATACTTTCCCATGGGCGCTCCGGAATGGGCAATGGTTGAAGCAGTACCGCCGGTTTCTTTGCCTCGATTTTGTCTTGCTGGCACACAAGACAAGTCTTCATATAAGCCTGCACATCTTCAGCCATGTGCGGCCAATAGTATTGCTCTGAAAGTAGGGCCAAAGTCCGATCAACTCCTGGGTGTCCTGCCCATTTGGAATCATGGCATTCTTTCATGAGCTCCTTGCGTAACTTTCCATATCGAGGCACAAAGAGACGATGGCCTCGGTGGTAAAGCAATTCTCCTTCAAGCTAAAACTCGTGGGTTCGCCCCTCCTTGGCTCCCTCAATGATTCGTTCGGCCACAGGATCATGGGGTAATCCTTCTTTGATCCTCTCGACGAGAGTACCTTCCACAGTTTCGATGGCATACCTTCGACTTAAGCCATCTGCAACACAGTTCACCTTCCCAGGCTTGTATTCTAAGGAAAATTTGAACTCGGTAATAAACTCTTACCAACGTGCTTGCTTGGGAGAAAGCTTCTTTTGGGTGAAGAAGTAATTGCTGGCAACATTGTCCGTGAACACCACGAACTTGGACCCGAGCAAATAATGTCGCCATATGCACAAGCAGTGTACAACTGCTGTCATCTCCTTTTCATGAACCGAGTACCTCCTTTCGGTTTCATTGAGCTTCCGACTTTCGTATGCAACCGGATGTCCCTCTTGCATGAGGACTCCACCAATGGCAACATCGGATACATCGGTGAAAACTACAAAAGGCTTGGTGTAGTCTGGTAGTACCAACACGGGCTCATTTACCATGGCATCCTTGAGTTTTTCAAAAGCATCTTGACATTTCGTGCTCCATTCCCACGCCTTGTCCTTTTTGAGTAGCTCGGTTAGAGGTGTGGCAATCTTGGAATAGCCCTTCACGAATCATCGGTAATAGTTGGCTAATCCCAAGAATGCTCGTAGTTCGGTCACCTTGGTGGGTGGCTTCCACTCGTCAATCACCCGAATCTTGTCCTTGTCCATCTGGAGCTTGCCTCCTCCAATAATATGGCCTAGGAATGACACTTCCTTTTATACAAACGAGCATTTTTCCTCCTTGACATAAAGCTCGTTCTCTCGTAAGACTTGGAACACCCTCCTCAAGTATTCAATGTGTTCTTCCAAGGTCTGACTATACACAACGATGTCATCAAGGTAAACTACAACAAAACGATCAAGAAAGGGTTGTAGTACCTTGTTCATTAACGTGCAAAAGGTTGTATGAGCATTGGTGAGACCGAAGGGCATCACAAGGAACTCATATGAACCGTAGCGTGTCACGAAAGCAGTCTTTGGTTCATCGCCTTCTGCTATCCGAACTTGGTAGTATCCGGACCGTAAATCTAACTTGGTGAACCACCTTGCACCACCAAGTTGATCGAACAAGTCGGCAATCAATGGGATCGGGTACTTGTTCTTCACGGTGAGCTTATTCAAAGCTCGATAGTCGATGTACATTCTGAGTGAGCCGTCATGCTTCCTTTGGATTTGTACTTTCGGAACACCTACGACGCCACCATAACATAGCAACATCGTTAAGATAATTGGTATCATCCTCGATACCCATGCCACGGAAGAATTGCTCCATGCCCTAAATGAAATTCTACACATCTTGGGCATTTCGACTCCCCTTGTACTCATTCGGCTTAGGGACGTCGATCCTGGGTCTTGGTGTTTGCGCCTCCCCAGTCACTCCATTCAACACGGCAACCTTGTAGACGAGCAGCTCGCTCTTAAGCTCCTTTACCTCCCGCATTATTTCGGCCCTCATGGCCAAGTACATGCTCTCGAGGCCTCTGGTACGCTCGTCTACGTTCTCCGTCAATTCGCTGATGAGTGTTTGGGTTTCTTCACGGAGTACATCCTCTACGGACTCCACCTTCTCCAAGCGAGATTCAACCGAGTCTTGAGTCTCTTGGACTTCATTATATCGGTCTTCTAATCTACCGACCCTTTGCTCGAACGAGGCCACGATATCATTCGAGCTCCCTCGTTTCTTTGCCACGGCAGCGCGAGTCTCCATCACTTCGCTTGTGGGGACCTCGTCTTGGTTGTGTTGTGCCATTTCCCGTAGAACTAGCTCTGATACCACTTGTCACGCCCTTGGAACTTTGACGCCTCGGAACGTGCGGCCTTAGTCGCTTTCTTAGTGATTGCGGCTAAGTAAGCCTAAAAATATCCCAAGCAAGGATGCTTAGAACCTCGACGGAAGCTAGACAAGAGAACTAGCACAAGAAGAAAGATAAGAAAGCTTTGAGAGAAGAATGCTCTTATGATTTCTCAAAGTGAAGGAGTGAGTACAAATGAGGAGGGGAGGCCTCTATTTATAGTTAAAGCTCCCCTCAATGAACGGCTAAGATCTAATTACATCGACGGTCGAGATTAATCTTTACCTACCAAAAACAAGTGGGCATTATCTATACAAATTTAAATACCACCTAATTCTTTGTGGCTTCTAGAAGGTCCAAACCCCCATTTGGGCTACTTCTCATGGGCTAACCTCGGTGGTGGGATTTGGTCCGTGACACTAACATTTTCATCAAAAACAAAGCTGCAACACATAAATAGGTTTATTAAATCTTATTTCTATATTTGTTTCTCAGTTTTTTTCCCTTCTTGTTTAATACTATATTCATCAACAAAACTTTCTTGTTTAATTCTTATCATCTTTTCAAAGCTGCAACATATAAATAGGTTCATTAACTCTCCGTTTTTTCCGTCTGTTAATGCATACATATAGAGCTTGGAGTTAAAGGGGTGAAAGATAATCCATGAGGGAAAAAGACTCAGGAAGAGGTTTCGAGTTCCCAACGATTATGGACGGTGTGAATTGTTCAGAGAAGGGTATCCCTTCTTGTTGCTTGAAGGCTGAAAGCCATTCTACTGTTCTTCCTGGGTGGTTCTCAGAATCTCAGTCTTCTTCTGGTCATTATCTTTGAATTCTTTCATTTTTATGTTCTTTTCATTATTATTTTCCAGAATTACATGGTTTTAACTGTTCCCCCTATCCTCGCTTGTAGGTAAGGCTGAGAAGACGGTTTACTTCAACAATCCTATATGGCCCGGTGAGCTTTAGTGACAATTCTGACCTTTTTCACCATGTTAAATCCCTTATATATAAAAAATTTAATGTTTGATTAAATAATTACTTTGATTCTTTTTTAAAAAAAAATATTTTGGCTTTAAATGTTTATTTTAAGGTAAAAATACCTATAATATTTGATTAAATAGTTAATTTGACTTTTTAGAGCATTTTACTCTAAACATTGAATTTTTATGTAAAAAGACTCATAATATTTGACTAAATAGTTAATTTGACACCTAGTTTTTTTTGGAGCATTTTGGCTCTTACGTTCTATTTTAAGGGGAAAACTTCAATTTTAGAGTGTTAATCGTTTGTTAACTAATTGTTTTCATCCATGGAGGGGCCTTTTTGCCTCAAAATAAAATGTTGGGACAAAAGTACTCTCAAAAAAAGAATATGAATTAAAGTGGTGATTTAGTAAAACGTTAGATACATTTTTGACATTATGCCTTGAGCATTTTGGCCTTAGCATTTTATTTAGGACAAAAAGATACATATGCGACTGAAAATCTTTAGTCAATAAACAAATAACGTTATGGACATTTTCCCCTAAAATGAAATGTTAAGGGTTAAAGTGAATTTTTAGTTAAGTATTATGGTCTTTTTGTTCTAAAATAAAATATTATAGACCAAAATGTTCCAAAAGAAAAAAATAAAAACTAAAGTGATTAAACATTAAGGACATTTTTAATCTTATGTCTCGATAATGTCCGAAGTTGAAATCAGAGTTGGAGTTGGAGTAGAGACAACTTCTCATGCTAATTTAATTCTTTGTTGCTGGAGAAGCACATTGTTTGAAAGTTGAAAGCATCCTGTACCAGGCAAAGTCAGACTATCAAGAGGTTCTTGTTTTTGAGGTTTGGCTCTATTTTTACCATCTTCATTCTTGTTTACCTCTGCATATTCTTCCTACTGACTATACCCTTTTTTTCCTTCAGACATCAAGCTATGGGAAAGTTCTTGCTCTCGATGGTATAATTCAGCTGACTGAGAAAGATGAATTTGCATATCAAGAGATGATAACTCATCTTCCGCTTTGTTCAATCCCATCTCCCAAAACTGTAATTCCCAATCTTATCCATGCTAATTTTTTAACTAAATGTTGAATCGAAGGGGCAATTAGGGTATTTTTCACTGAAAATTTTAAATTCTCATATATTTTAAATAATTTCTATAGTCTATTTTCATCTCTTAAAATCTTATAAATATGTCCTGTTAACATAATATCTTATGTCAGTCCTTGAATACAGGTTCTGGTTGTTGGAGGGGGTGATGGTGGGGTCCTAAGAGAGAGATCTCGGCACAGCTCTGTTGAGCACATTGATATATGTGAAATAGATAGGATGGTTATAGAAGTATGCATCTCTTGTTCTTTTCATCTTAATTTATATCTAAAAATGCTACTCAGTAAACATTTATCGTTTTCTCTTCTTCCAGGTTTCTAAGAAGTTCTTTCCAGCATTAGCTGCTGGATTCGAGGACAGTCGTGTTTTTCTTCATGTCGGTAAGACGAAACAATCTGGATTTGATGATGTTTATCATATTCTCCAGCTGATAGTTTTTTCGTGCATGATCTTAACAGCGGTTGAGTTTCTCCGTCATGTGCCGGAAGGGAAGTACGATGCGATCATTGTCGATTCGTCGGATCCTGTAGGTCCTGCTCAAGAGCTTGTGAAAAAACCATTCTTTGAGACCATAGCAAGAGCTTTAAGGCCTGGTGGTGTCCTATGTAACATGGCGGAGAGTATGTGGCTTCATACACATGTAATTGATGACATGGTCTCGATTTGCGGAGAAATATTAAAGGGTTCTGTTCATTATGCATGTGCAAGTGTTCCAACATATCCAAGGTATTCGATTATGCTTTCTATTGTTACCATTTATCAATCAGCAAAGTATCAAGTTTAGGGATAGACTGAGGAGGCGATGTCATGAAAATTTCAAAGTCTTATATAAATTAGATATTTTCTTTGTATTCTATATTAATAGTCTATTTTCGTGTCTTAAAATTTTATAAATTTCTACGCTAAAATTCTATAAATTTACCACTCCTGGTATAAAATCTTACGTCATCTGATAAATCTTTCTCATTCTTATTTCATTGCAGTGGTGATTGGTTTTGTAATATGCTCAAAGGAGGGGCCACCGGTTGATTCAGCATAAGAGAGAACTTAGATATTACAACTCTGAGGTGAGAACTCGTGTACACGATAATAAATCGAAGGGATAATTGGGATGATCGTTTTATAAAATTTTAAATTTTCATATAATTTAGATATTTTTTATATTTTATATTAATAATCTATTATCTCCTAAAATTTTATATAACGTCGTCTCTACGTGTACATGTCGTTTGTAATCTGAGAATTTGTCTTCTATGTATATGCACATGATATGATTATGTTGTTATGGACAGATGCATAAGGCTGCTTTTGCTTTGCCTTCGTTCCTGAAGAGGGAGGTGAGGTCACTACTGTGACGCAACACGAGGAGTATTTGTCTTATGGATTGAGTGGGTGGTTAGGATAGTCGTTTTCTTTAAAAATGTCAAATTATTATATATTTTAGATATTTTTATTGATAATATGTTTTCATCTAATTAAAGTTTTAGAAATTCATTCTCCTTAACATAAAATCATGCATCTGTTCATATGTCTTTATGCATCATTGTGTAATTGATAAAATTAAAAGATTGATGGTCAAAATGAAAAGAGACAATAATTAAGTGATCATAGGCACAATTTACTCAAAACTTAATGATCATTTTATAAAATTCAATAACTAAAACTATAATTTTTTTGGGTACAAACTAAAACGATGAAGATGTAGAAGTTTGCATAGAAGGACACATTCTCCCCTCAAAAGATTGTTTCAAGTACCTAGGGTCTATGATACATAAAGATGGGTGTGTAGATGTTGACGTTACACATCGTATAAATGTGGGACGGCTAAAGTGGAGAGCTGCTACTGGAGTTTTGTGTGACAAAAATGTACCTCTAAAACTTAAGGGAAAATTTTATAGAATGACAATAAAACCAGCGTTGTTGTATGGATCAGAATGTTGGGAAATCAAGAAGGATCACGTAAGGAAGATGGAGGCCGCAAAGATGAGAATTCTTCGATAGGCATGTGGTAGGACTCTGTGGGATATGACACCAAACTCTGGTATTAGGATGTCCTTGGGGGTGGTGTCTGTATCCGAAAAATTGAGGGAGGGAAGACTTCGGTGGTTTGGGCATGTCCTACGGCGACAACCGTCGGATGCGGTCAGGAGGGTAGAGTCTATTACAGTCGACGGTGCCAGAAGGAGAGGAAGACCAAGGCGAAAGTGGGAAGATTGCTTGAGATCTGATTTGAAGGATTTAGCCCTTACCGAAGACATGACTTCTGATAGGAAAGTATGGAGACTTAATACCAGGGTAGCAGAGTAGTACGGGTCACATCCATAGGGTGTATCATCTCTGTCTTCTTTTAATGTCTTTGTAGTAATTCCATTGACTTCTACTTTCTATACGTTTCTGAAATTGGAATTTATGAAGGCTTAGAACTAGGGTAGCGGAGTAGTATTGCCGTAGTTTAGGTTTTAACCCATTTGACTTTATTCCTTCTCATAGCTTGCTATTGTTGACTTCTGCGTATCATTCTCTTCATGTTTTATCGTTTTAAATTTAGTCGAGTCTTACGTTTCTATCTATATGCAGAGATTTTTTTTCCCGCAGGGATTACTTCTTATTATAGACGCGCATATGAAGACTGCATATGAAGACTGTTCAACTATGTACATTTTATCTCAATTTTTAATTTTATGTCTGCCAGAGGTCTTCTACGAAAGCTGCTCTCAACCTGGCGTTGGGGGCAGCCTACTACCTTACCTCCCACTTACCCCATTACATATGGGAATAGGATTTTGTTGTTGTTGTTGTTGTTGTTGTATTTTTGAATTTATATTTTCTAATCATAAATTATTTTCACTTCATTTTGAGAAAAGAAAAAAAAGATTATGTCAATATTCAACAAATTTTATACAAAAGGATCACTTTACATAATATCGAATTTCAGACAATTTTTATTTTAATTAAAAGAGGGAATTGTATTTTTTATAACTAAACTTTCTTTTTCACTTTTATTTTAATCACTAATCGTTTTTAAAAAAAATACTTACTGAATTTAATTTACTCTTATTTTGATCACTCGTCCGTTAAATACTCAATAATATTATGGTTTAACATTATTCTTTTAAAAATTATAAAATAATCCCAAAACTTATCTATTTTTTATGAAAATTCCCTAGTTTTGAACTCCTTTTGATTGTTTGATGATAAAATATCTTCTTTTAAATTCTAATTGCGGGAAAACAGAGAACGAGGAAGCGAGTTGTATATCTGATTTCACATTGATTAAATGGTGGATATTATAGAATAAAGTGATTTGAAATTTCATGAATTTTGGATTTAGGGTTGAGTTTTATGAATTTTAAAATGATTTAATTTAAATTTAAAGTAATAGAGTAGTAGGAGACAATGAGACAAATTTTTCGATATCTAGAGTGGTAAAAAAGACATTAAAGAATGATAATTACAACGTCAACATGATACATGGATGAAACTGTAATAGTTTCATCTTTGGAGGAAGAAGATAAAATAAAAAAAAAGAATGAAATATGACATAAATTAGGCATATATTTCATATTAATATAAAACAATTCGCATCAACACACATTACTGTCATGTTACCTCTTTATTTATGATCTAACATTCGAATGATCAAAATAAAAATAAATGAAAATTGAGCAGTGAAATTTATAATTTATCCAATAAAAATAAAATACAAACGTGGAGTACTTACAATCTCGTATTCCCGAATAGGCGGCTTTGACTAACAGTACATAACTGCCACGTGTAAAACCTTGACCGAATACAGGCACGAGTTTTCCACACTTCCCTTCCTTTCCTTTCAGATCTCATCCCTTTTTAACTTCCATGCTTCCATTTCTGGCGCAAAATCCTAAAGGCAGTGTCGCCGCCGCGGAGGAATACAGGTCGGCAAGCCCCGGGAAGGGACCAAAACCTAACGTCAATACGCCATTAAAAAGGGTACCTGATTTCATTCCTTTGTGTTTATTCTCAATTATTCCAAAATTTTCTCTCAATTTCGGAATATCAAAACCAAGAAAACAGTTGTTTGTGATTTCGTTTTCCTTTCCTGAGAATTATCGATGTAGGTTTCTGTTTCCACGAAATATCCTAAAGGATTGGAATTAGAGTGTAGTTTTCATTTTTCTTATTTATCAAAATTTTAGTGTTGAAATCTGTTTTTTTATTATTATTTCTTACGTTTGATTGGTTTCAGCCTTCTTAATGAATCTGAAGCTTTTTTTAAATGGGGATTTTTTTACGTGTTTGCAGGTTCGCACTTTCTGCAATCTGTTTCTGTGTCTGAGCTGAGGATCAGAGTATAGATGGCGGCTTCTATTATCACAAATCATAAGGCTCTACGCCATGTAATTTCTCCCCCTTTCGTTCTTTATAATTACCATGCGTTATCAAGAAACGCTTTCATATCATTAAAAAAATTCTATTGAATTGTTTTCGGTATATTTATAAAATTATTTTTAACACTGAATTCTTATGGATTTTGCTTTGTAAATCCTGTTCACATAATTATTCCCCAATTCTTTCATTTCTTTGTCAGGTTTTATTTATTTTTAGTTTCATATATATATTAGTGATTGGTTTTCTCGATGATGTGCTTTTCTACTTTTAGCTAAGCTTGATATGCTTTCTTTCCAGGCCATCCACGCTGTTGATGTTTCGGAATTGCGATTATGCAATCAGGGGGGGAAGTTTGCAGATCTGCCTTGCAGACTTAATGTAAGGCAGTCAGTGAAAACTGTTCAATTATGGCCAAAACTTAGGAACACCCTAACTATGAAGACTGCAGCTTTTGCTATTCCAAATGAAAACGACGAATCGGGAAGAAGTGGTTCACATGCTTGTTCTGATGACCAAGTGCTTATGCCTTTTGAAAATAATTATAGCTCCAGTGATCTGTATGAGGAAGCTGTTGATTCTGTTCCAGAATCAGGTTCTGGTGTCTTTCAGATGGTTGAACACTCAGTAAATCTGGCAAGCCTCCTGGACAAATTGAAGGCTGTACATTTACATGTGTTGGCGTCAGAGCAGTGGAATGCTACTAGGTTGAAATCATGTCACAAGTATGTTTGAAAGTTGAAACTATATCCGTTCTTATAGATTGACTTACATCATACATGGTCTCTTTTTCTTCTGATATAAGGCATAATCGGTCCTTAGTCTATAACCCATCTGTCAAAATTTCCTTTTTCCCTCTACTTGATATAAATCAGGTCTTTTATGATTTGTATGAGGTTTTTTAAAATCTTAACCTCAAAGAAAATGGAAAATACGTAAGTACTTAGTTGAGTGACTTGAGAAGAGATACCTATCTTGGTTATACCTATCTTGGTTGGAAACTACTTTTTCATGCACTTCAGGTTTCTTATTTTCAGGCATTTTCTGATTTACAGAGACTTTCTCATTGCAGAAATTATATGGAGAGTGCAATAAACTTAATCCATTATTTGGCATTGAAATGTCTCGACAACGAGCCACTCAAAGATGATCTTGCTTTGATCAGTCTACTGAATTTGGAGATGGTAAATTCATCTGTCCTAGCTAGTCTAATCACATGCATTGAACTGTTGAAGAACCTACAGTTGAAGTCCGTAAGAACTAACAAGAAAGCAAGTCCTGAAATTTGCACAAAGATATATCAACAAAAGAAAGGGCATTTTGCAATAGACACATTGAGAACGAAGGCATATTCAAACCGAGAGTTATTATTGGGACCGCTTCAAGGTAGCAAACTGAATCATATAATGACAACGGTTGGAGAAGAAGCTCTTGAGAGCGAAACACTAATAGCTGATCTTATAAAGGCTGGGACCTCAATTATTCGAATCAATTGTGCCCACGGAAGCCCTGAAATCTGGAGTGAGATAATTAGAAGAGTAAAGCAAAGTTCTCAAATGCTGGAGGCCCCATGTCGAATTCTTATGGATTTAGCTGGACCAAAACTTCGCACAGATGATCTAAAGCCTGGTCCATGTGTTGTAAAAATATCCCCCAAGAAAAATGCTACCGGAAATGTGATTTTTCCTGCACAAGTTTGGCTTTCTCATAAAGGAGCTGGTGCTCCTCCTCCTCATCTTTCTCCTGACGCTGTTCTGTTCATTGATGACCAAAAGTTTTTCAGTGAGATCAAAGTAGGTGATGCTTTGAGGTTCTTTGATGCTAGAGGTAAGAAAAGGATGCTAAAGATATCCAGAGTCTGTCACGTTTTTTCTGGTACTGGCTTTATGGCGGAGTGTACTAGGACTGCTTATGTTAGTTCTGGAACAGAGTTATATATCAAGAGGAAGAAAGGTAGGTTCCCTGTTGGAAAAGTGGTAGATGTCCCTGCTAGAGAGTCATTTATCAGACTAAGAGTGGGGGATTTACTAATAATATCACGGGATGGTACATGTGACCAAGATAATTTCAAAGGGCACAAAAGTGGTGCCTATAGAATAACATGTTCATCAGGCTATTTGTTTGATGCAGTCAAACCTGGAGAGCGCATAGCTTTTGATGATGGGAAGATTTGGGGAGTCATTAAGGGAACTAGTATTTCGGAGATTGTTGTCTCAATCACTCACGCTGGCCTCAGAGGGACTAAACTTGGATCCCAGAAATCCATCAACATCCCTGACAGCAATGTTAGGTTCGAAGGTGTGACTTCAAAGGATCTAGTGGATCTTGACTTTGTTGCTTCCCATGCAGACATGGTAGGTGTATCATTTATTAGAGATACTCGTGATATTATTGTGCTTCGTCAAGAACTGGAGAAAAGGAAACTTCAGAACCTGGGGATTGTTTTAAAAATTGAAACTAGAAGTGGGTTTGAGAAGTTGCCCCTCTTGCTATTGGAGGCGATGAAATCTTCAAATCCTTTAGGTGTTATGATTGCCAGAGGAGATCTTGCTGTGGAGTGTGGGTGGGAAAGATTGGCTGATATACAAGAGGAGATATTATCTATTTCCAGTGCTGCTCACGTACCAGTTATTTGGGCAACTCAGGTCCTTGAATCACTTGTCAAATCTGGTGTTCCGACAAGAGCTGAGATTACTGATGTTGCAAGTGGAAGGAGGTAAGTGATCAAATTATATTTCCCTAGCTATTTCCGTATGTTATCAGTGAAATTCATGTAATGATTTATAATTAGCTTGAGCTACATAGGCACTTCCAGTAGTTAGGCAGCCACTTTTACATGCATTTTTCAGTTCCCTTAGCGCAAATTTAATTTATTAATGGTCTTCTGACTGTTATACCAGAGCATAGCATACTACAAATATATTTCCATCTTTCGTGTATAGTGTTATTGTCCAAATGTGAAAGCAATCTGGCCTCTTTTCTCGAACATTTCTTTATATATATATATATACTAGCAGTAGGCATATCACTTCCCTTCGAAGGTCTTTCTGTTTATTTTGTTCCTTTCTCCTAGTGGAAGTCAGTGCTTAACGATCAAATGCATGTAACTCAGCATTATTAAAAGCTCCTCTATATTTTTTCAGGGCAAGCTGCATTATGTTGAACAAAGGGCGACACATCGTAGAAGCTGTTTCAACTCTAGATAATATCCTCAACTCGAACTCGAAACAGATGAAAGCGGAAGTTAGGTCACTTGTTCCGTCCAACCATCTCTTCTAGGGTAGTCCAGTTCCTTGCATCCCTATCTTATTTTTGGGCTATGTAAATATCGTTAGCATCAGTAACATGCAACCAACTAGAACTGCTATTTCAACTCTAGTTTATATCATGTAATGGTCTTATATTATGATTAACAATCATTTGTATTCGAAATGCTGCCTTTATCAACACCATGCCTATTACGATATATGTATGAATCTGCATATGCACATCATATACAAAACTCAGACTCAATCACTGGCAACTTTACGCCAAGATACATTCGTTTCTTATATGTGGAGAGATGAGGGTTCGTAATCTGTTTTACACACGACATTTTATATAAAATTAGGCTCTTCATCTGAGAGAGAGATCCTTCTATTGTTCTGCAGCAGTAAAATCAGCCTCTGCAGGCTTCTGAAGCAGCATAGGTGGAACCCTCTCCATCACTCTTGCTTTACGACTACGGTTTTTCCGTAAAGCATGAAGTGCATTGGCATCGAACCGTGAAGCATAAATAGTTGCACCCAGACTTGGTGAACTCTCACCAGCATTGGCTAAAGCATCTTGTCGTAATCGGTTTTTGCCCGAGCACGAATTTTTACTTGGCGGGAAAAGTGATATGAATAAATAGTTTTTAAAATATTTTGGGAGTCGTCATCGGCCTTTTGGGTTAGGTAGGTCGAATACCTAAAAATTATCTTTTAAAAGAGTTTTAAGAAAACATCAGTTAAAATATAAACTGGTCCGCGTTTAACCAAAAATTCATTCTTTTTAGAAATAAAAAGGGATTCGTGGTCGGTTACGTTTGGGGAATGATTAGCACCCCCACAACGCCCAAAATTGATACCTGTTGATTATAAATTGTCTCTAATAATAGAATTTAAGAATTCGAATATAAATATGAATTTAATTTACAATAGTGTTATTTCAAATTTAATTTGATATTTCTAAGGAAAAAATATTAAATATATATATATAGGGTTTTGTAAATAGGACATTTATTTATTTACAAATATCAGAAAATGACATCTAGTTGCTTTAAGACTGTCATTTCTTAATATTTGGAAAATAAATAAATATTAAAAATAATAATTTTTCTAAGAAAATAATAAAAATAAAACAATATTTATTTTCTAGTTTTTATAAGTAGGATATTTATTTATTTTTAAAATATCAGAATATGACATCTAGTTGCTTTAAGATTGTCCTTTTCTTTGATATTAAAAATAAATAAACATTATTATTTAATTAAATATATATTTATATGACTAATAATAATAAAATAATAATTAAAGTAATAATTTAAACATATAGAAAGTAATAATAAAAACAAAATAAAATTGCAAATAAATAATGATCAAAATAAAAGAAATTAAAATTAATAATATTAAAATATAAAATATTAAAAATTAAAGATACTAATTCGAAATATTATGAAAGATAATGATTAACAATGTAATTTAAACTAATTAAATATTAATGATTAAAATATTAATTATTAAAATTATAGTGACTAAATCGGTTATTTTACGTAAAATATATAAAAGTATGGCAATGACTAAATTATAAAGAAAAAAAATCAAGAGACCGAATTAAAATGATCGAAAATTGATTTAAGTGACTAAAATAGAATTTACATAATTCAGAGTGACTACGCGTGTGGTTTGACCATACGAGAATTTATACGGAGGTCCCTCACCAAAACTACGTCGTTTTGGTGAGGGAATAAATACCCATTATTAAGCCTAAAATGCTTTAACTCTTCTCATTTCTCCATATTTTTTCTCTCTCTAATAGAGAGAATTTTTTTTTCTCTCATCTCTCTCTTAAAGCCTTCGCCCAGAGAGAGATAGTCATCGGCCGACCGCCTTGCTCTGGCGCTGGTACCACCGCCGACCACCACCCACGGTGGCCGAAATGTACAAAGTTACCCTAACTTAAAGATCTAAAAACCCCAAAGTTGAATCCGGTCTCATTTTCTCCTAAAATCCCTTAGAATTTCCTAGATCTAGGTTTATACCTTCGGTTCTTTGGAGGTTCAACGACGATTTGGAGGGCTCAACGAAAGTATGTTTCTTCTCCTTTGCTTTCAAATGGCTTCTGTGTATCTCTTTGTTTTCTGTTTGGTGTCTCTCCCCGTTCTATTTGTGTGTTTTTTCTTTTTCCTTTTTTGCAGATAATGGCTTTTATAAGCCTTAATGATGTTGCTCTTGGACCAGTCCTAAGGATGGCTTTCGGTGAGTCACCAAACTATGGTGGTGACTAGGGATGGCAACTCAACCCGAATCCGACGGGTTCCGACCCGACCCGACCCGATCGGGTCGGATTTTTTAAAAAAATTCGGGTTCGGGTCGGGTCGGGTCGGGTTTTTTTAAATACACTGTTCGGGTCAGGTCGGGTTTAGGGTAAAAAAAATCCGACCCGACCCGACCCAAAAAATATATATAATTTTATCTTATATATTTAGGGATAATTACAATAATATCCCTCCATATATAATTTTTTTCAATTAAGTCACTGTTTTCATTGAATTAAATTTTTTTTTATTATTTCGGGTCGGGTCGGGTCGGGTTTCTAAGTCATATATTCGGGTCGGGTCGGGTCGGGTGAAACATTAATTTTGTCGGGTCGGGTCGGGTCACGGGTGGAGAACCCTTTCTTCTCGGGTCGGGTCGGGTGGCCCAAAAACCCGACCCGACCCGACCCATTGCCATCCCTAGTGGTGACTCACCATAGAGCTACAACGTATACGGTTGATATGCTTGCTGGAAGCTGCTGGAACGGGGACGTGGAGGGGATGCCATCGTTTGCTGGAAGTTACTGGAATTACAACGTGTAGGGGCTGCTCGGGTAAAAATGGTGCTTACAGCTGCCCTATTTTCTCGTTGCTATGGAACAGGAATGGAGCTAAGACATAAAGCACCATTTTTAGCTTGAATTGTTCAAACTTCTGAGCTATAAGTTATGATCTTCTTATTACGAACTCCTTTTGGAAATGTTAATGCTGATCTATCTCTTTCTGCGATGAGTCGAGCAAAAGATTGAATAAGCTCTTATTCTTCAAATGAGTTCTTCTTATTATGAACTTCTTCTGGAAATACTGATCCTCAAAAGAGGTGTTGATTCAACTTCATATGTGATTAATTAAGATAAGGTCGAACAATGTCTTCTCATTATGAACTTCTTCTTCTTCTTCAGATGAATTGAACTAAGGTTGAACAAGTTCTTCTCATTGTGAACTTCATCTTCTTCTTCTTCAGATGAGTTCTTCTCATTATGAACTCCTTCTGGAAATATTGATGTTGATTTATCTCCTTCTGCGATAGAGTCGAGCAAAAGGTTGAACAAGTTCTTCTCATTATGAACTTTTTCTTCCTCTTCAGATGAGTTCTTCTCATTATGAACTCCTTCTGGAAATGTTGATCCATCGAGTGATGGAAATTTCTGTTTCTAGTGAAACTGTCTCAAGCGAGACAAATCTTGTTTTAAGAAAAATTATCTTGAGTAAGATAAAATTTCTTGTTTCAAGTGAAACAATTGTCTCAAGCGAGACAATTCTTTGCTTTGGGAAAAACTATCTCAAGTGAGATAAATTTCTGTTTCGAGTGAAACTATCTCAAGCGAGACGAATCTTGTTTTAAGAAAAACAATCTCAAGTGAGATAAATTATTGTTTTGAGTGAAATTGTCTCAAGCGAGACACATTTTGTTTTAAGAAAAACAATCTCTAGTGAGATAAATTATTATTTCAAGTGAAACTTTCTCTAGCGAGAAAAAAATTGTTTTAAGAAAAACAATTTCAATTGAGATAAATTGCTATTTTAAAACATCCTGCACTGAAGGTCTTATGGATGGCCCGTAGGACTTACAAATTTGGAAAATAGTTTACTAAGTAAGAAACTTTGGAAATCGTTTTCTTACTATTCAACAATTTCATTTTCAGAAAAGATTAAATGAGAAACTTTGTAAATTGTTTTCTCATTTTTCGAAATAACTTTTTAGTTGGGTAACATGCCCCAACTTCAAAATAATGCTTCATTTGTGGATTGCATCCATCTATTTTTCAGTTGTTTGTATGATTCCTGTACTTAAGGCTTGCATTCTACCTTACACTTGTAAGGTATTTTTCACCATGAATCTTTTTTGTTCATACGAAGATCTGTAAAACTTCATGTTTGAATGCAATCAAATGTATCAATGTAATGCATTTTTTATTATGCAAATGATGTTCTTATGAATGCAAAAATATTGATGCAATCTTCATTCAACTTCAAAGTGGCAAACTTGGTTTTCATTCACTTAGTCAAAATGTAACATCCCAAACTATGGGTTAGTGACTAAATGGTAAAGTTTCAGAAATTTGGTGATTAAAGTAGAAGAATGGATTAGTTCAATGATTTATCTGGAAATAAATCCTAAAAGTTGTTAGTAATTATCAAAATGAAGTAGAGGGCAAAATGGTCATTTGACTAATAAATGAATTAAAAATAGATATGATAAGGATATATATGTTAGAGGGGATAAGGATGAAGAGATATTCTCTTCATCTTCTTCTTCTTCTTCTTCTTCTTCATGTACGAGAGAGAGAGAATAACCAAGCTTGCAAAGGTAAGATTCCCTGTTAGCTGATTATTTGTTAATTTTAAGAGTGGGTTTTGATCATTAGGTAATACTTAAGCTTATGGAAAGCTTAAGTTGTCCTAAAATCAAAAGATAAAGAAGTTATGAAAGATTAAAGAAAATGAGTTTCTTAAGGAAATTCTGGAAAAGAGTTAGTAAGTGAATTTTGAGAAGGAATTTGACTTGTCATCAATCTAATTAAGGAATATGGAGTGTTAGAATTAGATTAAAACATGTTAAAAATCTGGTATGATTCTTGAAGTTAATAAAGAGGAGATGATATTAAGGTTAAAGACGAGATAATTGATTATAAATGAGTTTAAACATGTATATGAAAGTTAGGAATATGAAAGGGGATGAAATATGAAGCATTTGAGTGAAGACTTGATGATTTTCGGGTTTAAAAAGAGGTTCTGGGCAGAGTGCATCGATGCACATTCATAGTGCATCGATGCATCAAGGTTAAAACCCAGAAATTGTTTGAATGTGTATCGATGCATTGGTAGTGCATTGATGCACTCTTTTAAAATAAAAACATCGAATGCAATTCATGCATCGATGCATAAGTAGTGCATCGATGCATACCAGTAATAATACAACATCGAATGCATTTTATGCACCGATGCATCAGTAGTGCATCGATGCATACTTTCATTGAAAGATGAAATTATCATTTTTCTTAGTCTAAGGAGTGAACCATTAGAGTATATTAGTTATAATACTAATATACATCTATGTATGATGATGTAGATATAGAACGTGATCCCGTTTCGGATCAATTGAAGGATTATAATCGAATCAAAGCAAAGCTAAGGTGAGTGCAATTTAATTTGTACTTATATTATTGAATAAACATTTGGCTTGCGAAGAGCCAGTGATGGAGTTACTATGGTAAGAAGAACTCCTAAAATGTTATTTGATTGGTGATCAATGTTATGATTTGT